TTTTCTGCTTCAAGTTGATTAAACCCAGCTTCCTTGTCGGTGCGCTAGTGTATCTAGCCTTTTTTTGTCAGAAAAAACCGTTCTCCCTAAACTCGGTGAAACTTAGCTTTTTCGTCGCTTCGCTAGTGTAGCTAGCATTTGTTTGTTCGTCCGAACAAACCGTTACCCTTAAAGTTGGTTAAATCAATATTCTTCGTCCGTTCGCTAGTGGTCTCTAGCATTATATGTTTGTCCGTTAGAGCAAACTTTTCTCTTGGACGTCGGTTCCACCCAGCTTTTGTCTCGCTTGCTAGTCATCTCTAGCTTTTCTCGTTTGCTCCACAGAGCAAACCTTTCTCCTTGAAGTTGATCAAACCCAGCTTCCTTGTCGCTTCCCTAGTGTATCTAGCCTTTTTTTCGTCAGAACAAACCGTTCTCCCTAAAGTTGATTAAACCTAGCTTCTTCGTCGCTTCGCTAGTGTAAGTAGCATTTTTTTGTTTGTTCGCCAGAACCACCTGTTCTCCCTAAAGTTGGTTAAACCCAGCTTCTTTGTCGCTTCGCTAGTGTAGCTAGCCTTTACTGTTTGTTCGTCCGAACAGATCGCTCTCGTTAACGTTAGTTAAACCCAGCTTCTTCGTCCCTTCGCTAGTAGGCTCCAGCATTTTCCGTTTGTCCTTAAAAGGAAACCTTTCTCCTGAAAGTTTCCGCCCAGCTTTTGTCTCGCTTGCTAGTCATCTGTAGCTTTTCTCGTTTGCTCGAGTGGGCAAACCTTTCTCCTTGAAGTTGGTTAAACCCAGCTTCCTAGTCGCTTCGCTAATGTATCTAGCATTTTTTGTTCGTCAGAACTAATTGTTCTCCCTAAAGTTGGTTAAACCCAGCTTCTTCGTCGCTTCGCTAGTGTAAGTATTTTTTTTTGTTTGTTGGTCAAAACAAACCGTTCTTCCTAAAGTTGGTTAAACCAAGCTTCTTCGTCGCTTTGCTAGTGTAGCTAGGCTTTAATGTTTGTCCGTAAGAGCAAACTTTTCGCCTGAAAGTTGGTTCCGCCCAGCTTTCGTCTCGCGTGCTAGTCATCTCTAGTTTTTCTGGTTTGCTCGAGAGAGCAAACTTTTCTGCTTCAAGTTGATTAAACCCAGCTTCCTTGTCGGTGCGCTAGTGTATCTAGTATTTTTTTTGTTTAAGTTGGATTTGCAGATTGGACAATCGCTACCTTTATGCTAAATACTGTCAACAGCATGACAACAAGAATTCATCTTTCCTCGAAAAAGACCATAGCGCAAGTGATCCAAATAATCGTAATTCTACTTATCGCAGTTCCACCACGCCATTGAGTGTTATCTGTCCTATTGATCAGGGCAATCATTTTTTGGGACGATGCCCAGAATTCAAAAAATTGCCACTGGATAAACGTTTGGAGATCATTAAGAAACACTCTTTATGTTTCAATTGTCTTTATTAACACAAGTTGAACGATTGCAGTTCAGAAAAACGATGTATGCAAGATAACTGCGGTCAGAAGCATCATTCAAGTTTGGACAGAGAAAAATGTGGAATTGATAGCAAAAATCAATCTCAGAAGTCTGACAACGTCGAAGTTGAACAACGAATTCTCAGTTTGCCAGATGCCGATGATAGCAAAAATCCGGGTTCGGTCATTAGAAATTAGTTACAGTATATGCCGGTAAACCTGAGTTATGGCAAAACCTCAATTCATTGTTATGCAATGTTGGACAACTGCAGCAGTTGCTCTTATATATGCAAAACTACAGCGGAAGAACTGAACAGCGTTCCAAAGCAATCAGTCGACCTGAATGTTCATGGAGCTTTCTCAACGGATAAAAATAAAATCCAAGCCGCCTTAATTACACTGAGTGTTGAAGCCTTCCATTCTACGTCAGTTCTTTTTACCTTACCGAACTTTTATTCGGTTGAAAAAACTCAGTTCGACGTCGTTAACGTCAAACAATTGAACAAAATTTGTTCCAAACTGAATCATCTCACCCACATCAATTATCTTGAACTTGATGATAATCATGTCCGTGTTCTCCTTGGTGTCGATGCTTTCTGGTTCCTTGCTGAAAGAGACATCAAGAGGGGGTCATGTTGAAAGCCCATTTGCAAACAAACTTGCTTGGATGGCCCATCACTGGTCCTCTGAGCTCCAAGTACCTGTACAAAGAACTACGAGAATAACAAACAAATTACATTGATGCTCGCAACAGAAAGCAGCCAACACTAAGCAAACTTGTCGAAAAATTCTGGAAAGTTGAAGACTGCAATATCTGTGGATTTTCCACCTGCTTCAAATTCAAGAAAGATAAACAAATTACTTAATGTCATGGAAGACAGTATTTACCACGTGAAACAAAGTATAACATGAACTTACTGGGGAAGCAGAATGTCATGCTACCAGATAACTTCACAATCGCAAAAGCTCAATTAGGCTCACTTCAAAAACGCTTAACTAAGGACCGATACCTTTTGGATTCATATAATAAGTCTTTTGCTACGGTCATTGAGAAAGGTTATGTAAAACAGTTGTTTTCATAAATCCCCAGCCAACTAACGTCTGGTATTTGCCTCACCACCCGGTTGTAAATCCAATTAAACCTGAAAAATAAGACAAGTCGCAAATGCTGCTTCAATGTTCCAAGGTATCTCTTTGAACTCCTGTTCAGAAGCTGGGCCTGATCTTCTGAACAACATGTTTGGATTGCCACTTCGTTTTCGGGAACAGCCAGACGCGGTATCTGCCGATATCGAGGGTTTTTTTATCAAAGGTTTGCATGCAAAGCTGCCGATATCGAGGGTTTGCATGCAAATTGGTGTTAAAGAATCAGATCAAAATGCTTTACGATTCCTTTGGTATCAGTATACCAGATTGATATTTGGTTCGAAATGTTCACCTTCAGATGCAATATTCGCATTGAATCAGACTGCAAAGGGTTTCGCAGCTAGCGATCGCAAAACAGCTGAACTCCTTAACCGGAGTTTTTATATGGATGACTTTGTCCATTCTTTTGAGTCCATTTGAGTTGCTCAACGGTCCTCTTTGAAAGTAAAGAGGGTCCTGAATAAGGGTGGTTTCAGTTTAACAAAGTTTGTTTCAATTAAACCCGAAGCGTTAGTCAGGTTGCCTGAAACGGACGTTGTTGGAATTATTTCGACACAAAGAATACTCGGAGTGCATTGGGACACAAACGTTGACGCTTTGTTTGTAAAAACACAAATCAAACACGATTTTCAAGGCAAAAATTTGACTCTCCCTCGAATGTTTTTTTTTCAATAGTGACAATAATAATGGACCCTACGAGCTTTCCTGCACCGTTTGTAATCACCATGAAAATCATGCTACAAGTTATTTGGATATCTGGAATTTCGTGGTATGAATAAATACCACTTGAACACATGAGTATCATTGGAAAAAATGGCTACTGCAATGTCGACAAGGTTTATCTGTGAAACTTCCCCGTCACTTAGGAATTTACTCTCAGAACACATACGTACAGCTGCATGTTTTTGCCGACACATCGCAATGGTAGCTTATGTTTACGTTCGAACGAACTACTACAGCTTCTAAAATCAACGTCAGTTTTTTTTATTGGACGAACCAAAGTAGCTCCACTGAAGCAGGAGAGCTTCCCTAAGCTCGAGCTACAAGCAGCTCTGATTGAGTCGCGACTTTGTTAATTCGTTTTAGATGAATTCCTTTGTGAGTCAAACACTGTTTTCTACTAGACAGATACTACTACGGTTCTTGCTTGGATTAAGATTATGCCTAGGCGCAAGGATTTTTGTAGCAATAGGCTCACTGAAAAACTTTCGACTTCCTAAGAGTCACAATGGTATCATATTTCAAGGAATCGCAATCCAGCTGATCACGCCACAAGAGGAATACCCCTTTCCGATGTAGATAAACTCTGGTTCCAGCCTCGTGATTTCCTGATGACACCGGAATCGGAGTGGCTTAAGCCTCGACATAGGGAAGTTACAATCCTCAGCGCAAGACTAAGAGAGGTCGAGCCACTAATGGATTTTTCACGTCTGTATATAATTCACTCTAGTTACTCAAAGTAACTACGATGATTCTAAAGTTTATTAGCTTGCTGAGGAACAAAGGAAAAAAATTGCCGACGCATATTACCGGGATTCAGCAAAATCTGAAATTTGAAGTTTCGCAAAATAAATTTTTCCCAGAAACCATCAAACGATTAGAACAAGGGAAAAAATTATACAACAAAGACGTTCTGTTAGCATTTTCTCCTTTCATGGATGATAATACTCTGAAAGCTAGGGGACAGTTTTTTTATGCAATCTTGGCGAAACCAATCTAAATCCAACATGGATTTTTCCAAAATCGCACCCTCGAGTGATAGGGTTTTGTCCAAATGCTGTCAAGAGTCGATACGATATATGACCGCAATTCATCTTAGTTCGCAATTTTTTTTCAATTTTCAAAGGTCTGGATTTTTTTCCTGCTTACAAAAACGCACAGAATATGAAATTGTGAAACACTTAATAAGTTTCAATGAGCAGAGTGAAGACACTTACTTAGGTCGTGTAGTTTCATTCTTTCTTTTTAATTCAAATTAAATTCAATTGCTTAAAGGAAGGCAAACTACGCTCTCCAATCAAGCAAATGCAAATGACGCTAAAAATTGTGGATGACTTTCCGTTTTAAGATTTACCAGCATAAGGATGAAATTACCTATTGACCCATTCTCTACTTGTTTCTTTTTTAAATATGTGACGATTAGATATTCTTGAAACCCAATGATCTATAATTTTTTGTGATTTTTTATCGAAATTTTCCTATGAAAGTTTTTACTGACACTTTTTCAACTTTCTGTAGGCTTTGTTTTTTTCGGAGCTCAATAAGCTGGTTTTTTTTCCTTCAACTCATATTCAATTACCTTCAAAGTTTTTGACTTGAAAGATTTGCTTGCGATGGTTCTTTGGCATCTGTGTTAGTTTTAATGATTCTTTAACGGCAGTTTTATGAATTGTTGTGTTTTTATGTTAGGTGTGGGATTCTGCTCAGGCTCTGTTCAGTTCCGTGTGTGGCACTTTGGCTGCTAGGGCCACCTTTGAGGGACTGGGAGTGGGTGAACAGTCTGCTACAGTTAGTGGGGCCACATACACTTGGATGCTCAAAATGAGGCTGGTTTTTTTTTTAAACTTTTTTTTCACATTCAATATCTGTAACAAACTTCATTTATTATTGAACCTTGACAACTTCTTGTCTCCTTCTCACTTGGTCTAGAGGTAACGCCATTGCCCTAACAACCAATGATCTTGATTTTAAGTACCGGCTAGGTCTTGGTTTGTTCAGTATGTATGAAAATGTTCAAAAAAAAATTGAATTTTTTCTTATAACTTCTTACTATTAATCATCAAATCGGATTTGGAATAATATATTTTTGTTTTTCTTCGATTAAATTGTTTTTGGCTGAGGTTTATCTTCTGAAACTTATTTTGTGTCTGGGAACTTATCTTTAGATTTTTAATATTATTTTTAAATTATATTATTCAAGAGTATGATTAAAAGTTTCAAGTTTATTACTAAGAAGTTCCAATTTTTGCTCAAAATTTATTAATTTTTTTTTACTGTTTCTAGCTCTATGGGCTTCTGTCCTTTTTTTGTCGGTAAAGTGGCCACTCGTTAGAGGATACTTAGTGCTTATTCAATGCTGCTGGTTGTATTTTTCGACTTAGTGGTTTGTGATTCAATTTATATTTGCTATCTTGCAATGCTACCTATTGCGTTTCTCGACTTGTTTGCCTCAAAATGAACATCATTCGAGACACGGTGGCAGTTAGTTTTTGTGACATCTTTTTAAGTTCACATAATTTTTCGACATAATGGCTTTTGTCTCATTTTCTATCCGCTAGCTCACAATGCTATTTGTGTAAGTGCAGACTTTTATTTCTACTAAGTTTTTCTCAATTTAATTTCGCCTTGGAGACATTATTTAGTTTTTAAATTGAAATTGGTTGCTATTTGTAAGTTTACCAAGTTTGATTTAGTTTAATTTTCGTTTTTTTGCTTAAATGAGATTGGCTCATGCTATATTGACTTAGTTACCTCACTTTGGATGTAGAAACCAAGAATTTTTTTTTGCTGAAAGTGTTCCATGACAACAGTTTGTTTTCTGCTTCACTCAAGGTATTTCGGCTTAGTTGCCGCGCAGTAATCGATTTTGAACTTTTATTCAACGGCAGTGATTGTGTTTTTTTTAACATGTTTTCCTCAACTTGAGCATCAGTCAACACAAAGGTATGGTATTTTTTTTGTAGATGTGGCTTTTCTAAAAAGTATCTTTTTTTACTGTGGTTTTCGTCTCAATTTCTGTCTCCTAGCTTAGATTGTTATGACTAAGAATCGATGAATGTAGTGAATCTTCTTATCTTATATTTGCTTTCAAATTAGATTTTTGCAATTTGGTATTTGGTTTTTCTTATAATTTCAGTTCCCTTCCTTTGTAAATTGGAAGGCAATTTCAATTATCGAACAGCAATTGTATGCAAGTCACAATAAAACGTGATCGGCTTCTTGTTTCGAACGAGGAATTTAAGTTTTCCGATTTCTGTCCAGTTTTCTGACTTATTGATCCAGTTTTCTCAAATTGAGTTAATTTTGTTAACAGTATTAATTATAAACTCTTCTTTAAATTCAAAGAGGTTAAATGGCTTATGTTTTTTTCTTTGGAATTCAAAAGTTCTAGACTGTTCATCCTGTTGATTTTTCTCAAATGTGAAATGAACATGTTCAGTTCAGGAATGATTGGGTCAATCGTGTTCGCCTACTACCAGAGCAGCTCTCTTGATGCACACTGCAAACAGTGGCGTCTCTTCGCAGACATCCTGAATGACTTGGCCATGACTATGGCCATCATATCTCCCCTCTTCTCTCCATTCACGTTCGTCATGCTCTCCTGTCTGTCCAGTCTGTTCCATGCTCTGGTGGGAGTGGCCGGATCCACTACACGAGCTGCACTCAGGTATGAACTCTACGCCATCTCCATATCTCACATTAGAAATGATTATGGCAATTTTATTGGCAAAGTTATGCACTTGCAATTTACTCTTGTTGCTAATGAAAACGTGATCATTTCTGTTGCGCATTGGCATTTCGGCAAGATACACATTCGATACCCAGAAGCCAGAGCAAGAAAACTGGGCTTTTTAGTATCTATTCAATAAGTTGTCAATTATTCTTCAAATAGTTAACATATTATCAATGCGAGACATTTGTAATGTTAACAGTTTCTAAGAGTAGCTGTATTGAAATTAATTAGCCAGAAAATGAGATGAATTATAATTTAAAAACATTCGTCAAAGAAAGCAAGCGTCCCTAATTTGATGTAATTCTTGCTGCCCAATTTTCCGAGGGTTCTCATAAAATTATTGTCGTCTCCATTTCCCGTATACTGTTATTGAACGTCTCAAAATCTTATCCCTGTTCGTTTGTTACATGTAGAGTGCACCAGGCGCGTGACAACAACATGGCGGATGTGTGTGCGAAGGACAACAGTCAGGAGCAGCTGGTCAATCTAGTCGGTCTCCTTCTCGGGTTTCTAGTCACCTCCATGGTAGACTTCTTCGGGTTAGTTGAGCCTACTAACTATATGCTCTTTAATTGCAACAGAATAGCTAACACAAGCGTTCCAAGATTTGCCTTTAAGTGATTCAAGGATATCATTTGATTTTTTTTTTGTTTTTCTCAACTAGGAATAATTTTTGTCCATTTCGATATCATATGAGCTATGAGGTTTTTATTACCCATTTTTGAAATAATTTAGCTGTATATTCATTTGTATATTTAACTGTATATTCTACTGTATGTTCAACAGTGCCGAAGCACAACACTACCGAAACTGAAAATGTGTTCAACAGTGCCAGAAATTGGTGACATTTAAAATATTGAGTTTTGTTAGTGAATTGTTGGCAATTTTGCGCGAATAATGTTTAGTTTTGGGAGTGAAACCGAGAATAAAAACTGACAATTTGCTGAGTTAATTGTTTGTTTAACAAGCGACAGCAATTAAAATGGCAATTGTGTCTTTTCAAATTCCGTCCATTTAAATTAATTTACTTGTCAGTGATTTGGGATGAATAAAAACATTATGTAAAATAAATTTCGGCACTGTTGAACAACATTTCAATTTTCGACACTGTTGTACTGCCATTATATGGCTCATCAAATTTGTGAAGTCAATTAGACGTTTGCTTGGAAACATCTGGCGTCTACGTGGCTTCACAAATTTGATGAACCATATTCAGTTGAAATATTTCGAAAATGAATATTCAAATACTTATAGCTCATGATCTCGAATTGTACAAAAGTTATTCCTAGTTAAAAACGTAAAAATGAAAGTAGAAATGAAATGTTCCGCTTCCTTAATTTAGACAGGTGTTTGTCTGGTCACTGTTTGTCATGTGTACATGTTGTCATCTGGTATGCAACTACTACGCAGTCAAGTGTGTTACCATGGAGTCCCTGAACCCCAGTCGCTTCCAGACTTTAGTGAACAGATTCTGGGCTGATTACAGACTTTCTTCGGATCCAACTAATCTGACAATGAAATCCATTAATCAGAGCGAAAATCTTTTCTTCTGGAAGTTGAGGAGACTACCTAGAGTTTCGATAGGTGTGCCTATCAACGAGTTGCACCAACCAATTGGTATGTTTGCTCTCCAATTCTGATGATTGCATGCAGGTTCTATTGCAGTTCTATTTTAATCATCAACTTATGTCCAAATATGATTAGAGAATAGTTTATTAAAGAACATATCTTGGGTACTATCATTTATCTGTATCAAATTTTGGGTTGATGTTGCTTGTTTCGGCTGCATTTTGTCTTCTTTTCTTTCGGCTAGCTTCCCATATATTGGCGTATATTGTGTATCGCAAGTGATGTAGAGCCTGGCTTCATCTGTGTGTCACAAAAAGACATGCTATTAGCCTTCTTCTTTGCCTAGAACACCAAAGATTTAAACAAGCTCAAAATTTGAAGGAATTTTTATCGAAACTTTTTATTACTTCGATATGAGATATCGCCATTGTGTATTTTTGGTTTCAGTTGTTAGTTCAACCGCAAGTGCTATGTTCAGTCTTGGAAACTTGACTAGATTGGACTGCTCTCAACTGCACATATCAATAGCACTGTCAGAGGCCTGCTCATCTTCAGACATAGTCAGGGCTTGTTTTGTGGCCTACTCTTGCGACATGGACTCAACTAGGTTAAAAGAACATTTCACACTGTACGGAGAAGAAGGACTGACGAAGGTAATACACCAAAATTTCTACTTGGCAGTTTTTTTGTTAATCGTATATATGATCGTTTTGACGAACTCGCCACATGTTTACTTTACTGCTTACTTTTTGTTCTGGAGAATCGATTTATTGGATTCCCTATAATAACAATTCAGTAATTGTTTTTGTAAGATTTGAATATCAGAATCTGTTGTTGTTGCTTCTTTTATAAATCAAGAAACATCAATTAGTTATATATACTCGGGGGACTGGCCTATTAGCATATGTGGCGACTAGCATGCACATAAAAAATATGGTGGCAGGACAATCTACCCTATTCCAAACTACCCTATACCATTCTACCCTATGGCATTATACCCTACATACCAATCTACCCTATACTAATCTACCCTATACTAATCTGCCCTATATACCAGTTTAACCTGTGTCGATTTGGCGCATAATTAATGTAATCTTTCAAAGTCCTAATTAGACTCGGAAAGATAACAGCACGTGTTAATTCATTTGAGTCTAAATTTTTGGACTCAATTTGAGTCTTTCACTTAAGGATATTGGTCTAAAGACTAAATCGCAATTTAAACCTCAAAATCTGAAATTTGTCTCAATTAAAAGGTTTTAATCCCCAATTTTCAAAATCACGTGCAAAAATGAAACCAAAACTACATCATTATATCAATTTTCCTTGGAATAACATTTACCAAAATGAGTCAAATTTCTTGGGGGTATATCTCAACAGAATCGGAGAACGCTTGTAATCGGTGGCCACGACAAAAAAAACAGGAAACAAAGAATGGAAACATTCACTGGAAGTGTTCAAGATGGGGTCCCATAAATGCAAAACGACAGCAATAACCCGAGATAACGATCTTATTTCCTGTAGAAATGAACACACGCACCAAGTATTTCCTGGTCGTTCAGATGCAAGGCTTCTCGGGCAGAAAATGAAACAGGACACAAAAATTCTGCAAGTACCAGTCAACAGCATATTTATAGCAAATGGCCTGCAGTCTGTGTCCGAAGAAAAAGCCGTCCGATTAGCTCTTCCTTGCCGGTCGGCGATTGATTGGGCCCTCAATCGACAGAAGGTAAATGAGAGACCCACATTGCCTCCCATTGTCGACAGACATTTTGAAGTACCAAAGCAACACGAGGAGTTTTGCGTTTTCGATAGCGGCATTGAAGATCCGGAAAGGGTGTTGATTTTTGGATACACTTACAAAAAACTACTGAAGCGATTATCAGCCATCACCGAAAACACCGAGCCTCACCGCATTCTACTCGATTTTGAACGTGCAGCATTAAACGCTTTCGCTAGTCATCATACCGGAGCGTTGCTGAAAGGCTGCTATTTTCATTTATGTCAAGCGTTCAACCGGAAAATAAACGAAGTGGGCCTAAAACGACTGTACGAAACTAATCACGATCTCAATTTGTCGTTGCGCTTAATTCCAGCTCTAAGTTTTGTACCAGTTGAAATGGTCAATGCTGCTTTTGACTTGGTTATTGAGGAAATCAAAAAAGTGTCTGACAAATTTGATCTTGACGACAGCATAACTGAGAAACTTGATGAGGTAGCCTCATACTTCCAGCGCACCTACATTAAAGGCGAAACCATCGGAAGGAATTCCCGCGACCCTCTCTTTCCAGTAAACCTTTGGAATCATTCCGAAGAGGCAGCTGCTGGGTTAATAAGGACAACAAATGCCGTAGAAGGCTGGCATCTCGGCGTTGCTTCTCTCTTTAAAGGAAACCACCCATCCGTTCACACCTTTCGGGAACAAATCAAATTAGATGCTGACAATCAAAAATTCAATAAATTGAAAGCAATGGGGGAAAACAGCAACCCCAGTCGCAAGAAGTACAGTGAATTGAATGAGAAAGTGAAAAACATTTGCAACAATTTTAACAAAGATTCTATTTTAACATATTTGTATTCTCTCGCGCAATTAAGTCATTCCTAACTCTGTTTATTTTAACAAATTTTATGAATTTTTCAAAAATTCATTTTAGTTTCTTAAAAAAATACACTTTTTGAGGTTCCCGTGGCCGTAGAGGGCTGATATTTTGGGAGGTAATAGAGGCCAATATGAAAAGAATTTTACCTTCTCCCTCACCCCGCCCCCCAATACCGCCTTGGCCTGGTACTGGGGGGTCTACCCCTCCTTTTGTGATCAACTAGTGAAACCCTCAGTAGTTTTCAAATTTCATTCAAATTTGACTTCTTGGTGATTTAATCTTTCGAACTTTTGATTTTAAAATACATGCATTATCCGCTAAGCTATGTCGACTTGATGTGATATGACTTTTGTTAGTTTAAGAAATAGCCGCAACGCATTTCTATAGCAAATTTGGATTAAATTTCTGTTCGTTCATGCTTTGAACTCATTTCCATTTTGAACAAGCAAGTTTTACGTTGCTTTGATATTTTGTTCGGAAATATACTGTTTCGGATTCTTCAAGAGGATGGGGTAAGTTTCAATTGCTTTATTTATAGGGTAGAATGGTATAGGGTAGATTGGTATGTAGGAAAGAATAGTATAGGATAGATTAGCACAGGGTAGATTGTAATTGGATAGAATGTCATGGAACCAAAAATATAAAGAGTTATTTTTACTTATTCCACCCTAAAATTAATTTTGAGCTGAAATCGTTTTGCTTCAATCTGATTGGCTTAAATTAACCAATTAAATTTCAGCGCCAGCTCAAAATGTTTTATCATAATTTTGAGTCGACTTACAAGTTAGCCGAACTGGCCAAAAAAAACTGTTAAGCTGCTGAGTTGCTCCAGGACTAAAATGACGATCTTCGCATCTGCTCGAAATTCGGTCTTTTCAGAAATCAGTTAAAACGTAAAAATTGCTTTTGTATTAACCTATATATTCCCTTCACCTTAGCCAGTCTGCAAGTGTTACTGTATAAGTACGAACTTCCTTCTTCTAACCTAACTCGCAAATGAAATGGTTCATTGAAAGTGTTCACTTATATGGAAGTCAGGTGGCAGGTTCAAGTTAAATAGCTGGATCGCTTTTTGTTATACATCGAACAGTATTTTTACTTGCGAAGCGAGTGTATTATTAAGAACCGTATTTTTTCCAACCTAAGTCGCAAGTATTGGTGCCATTTTTGGGCACCTCAGCTTTTTCATAGCATGGGCTTTAACATTCGAATAGTTATAAGTTAGCTCAGTTATGCATTTTTACACTTGCGAAGCTAGTGTTTTAGTACGAACCTTCTTTTCTTCCAACCTATATCGGAAATATTGGTGCCAATTTTGGACACCTTTACAGCTTTTTCATAGCATGGGCTTTGACGATTCGAATAGTAATAAGTTAACAGTTATGCATTTTTACTCTGGAGAAGCTTGTGTATTAGCACGAACCTTCTCTTTTTTCCGACCTAGGTCGCAAATATTGGTGCCACTTTTGGGGCATCTTTACCGGTTTTTCATAGCATATGCTTTGAAATTTGAATAGTAATAACTTAACTCAGTTGATGCATTTTAAATTTAACAAATGAACCGAAAAAAGTGACTTATTTCAAACGACATAATAATAATGAAAATTCGTTTTCAGAAATTTTCTAATGCAATTAATCTCACAAATGCATAATTTATTCGTAATGTGGCTTTATGCTTTGTGATTTGTTACGTGCAAAGTTAATGTGGATGCCTTCAGTTTGTTATATTCCAATTTTTTACTTGCAAAGTTGAGTATATTTGTATTTGATGTCACTTTTGCTGAATCGCGTTGGCAAACTATTAGCTTATGTAGCTGTTTAATTCGTGACTAGTGGTTGTTGGTTGTTAAGCTTTCGTGGCTGAGTAGATAGTGCGTCAGACTCAGAATCTATTGATTGCAGTAGGTCGCAGATTCGAATCCTTACCCATAGCCGAGTTTTTGCTAATTCCAGGCTTATTTCTACTACCTGTTTCACTTGATAGAGCTGTTTTTTGGTCGTGTTCTTGCAAGTGTGTGCGAAGCGCAGCTTCGCTTCTGTGTTGATTCGTCAAATGAACCGAAAGAAGTGATTTGTTTCGAACATGACAATAATGAAAACTCGATTGTAGAAATATTCTATCTCAGAATATCTTGCAATTATACATGTGGCTGTGTGCTTTGCGATTTGTTACATGCAAAATTAGTGTGGATGCCTTCAGTTTGTTATAATCCAATTTATTTTTTGCAAAATTGAGTCTCTTTGTATTTGGTGCCACTTTTGCTGAATGGAATCGGCAATTTATTAGCATATGTAGTTGCTTCATTCGTGAATAGTGTTTGTTGTTGTTTAAGCTTGCGTGGCTGAATGGATAGTGCGCGAGACTCAAATTCTCTTGATTGCAGTAGGTCGCAGGTTCGAATCCTACACGTAGCTGAGTTTTGCTAATTCGAAGCCTTTTCTGCTTCTGATTTCAACTGTTAGAGCTGCTTTTTGGTCGTGTTCTCACAAGTAGAAGTGATTTGTTACAAAACCTAGCAATGATGAAAACTCGGTTTCAGAAGTTTTCTAACTCAGTATATCTCGCTTTTTTTGAAATGCATAATTTATACATATTAGGGCTGTGTGCTTTGCGATTTGTTACATGCAAAGTTAGTGTGGATGTCTTCAGTTTGTTATAACCAAAATATTTTTTTTTGCAAAATTGAGTCTATTGTATTTGATGCCACTTGGTGAATCGAATTGGCAATTATTAGCATATGTAGCTGCTTTATTCGTGAATAGTGTTTGTTAGTTGAGCTTTCGATTCTTAGGGCTATTTGAAAATTTAGGCGTATCCAGATAAAGCAATTATCGCATGCTACTATCCACTTATGCTAATTGCAACACACATATGCTCGCTGGCATTTTCTTTTGATCATTTTGCCGCTTTTAATTTCGCATTCAACCGTGTGTCTGATTTCATTGAATTCTTTTCGTATATCAATATACCGACGAACTTAGGCGTATTTGTTTTTCGTCTTAGAGAACATCCAGATAAAGCAATTATCGCATGCTACTATCCACTAATGCTAATTGCAACACACATATGCTCGCTGGCATACTCTTTTGATCATGTTGCCGCTTTTAATTTCGCATTCAACCGTGTGTTTCATTTCATTGAACTCTTTTCATGTTTCAGTATATGGACGAACTAGAATCTACCTTTCCTGCGTTCCAAAGAACCTTGAATAGTTGCGGATGGAAATGTGACGACCACTCATTGCTAGAAGTTGATGCGTGGAGGTTCTCCCCCATTCGCTAATGATCATATGAATCATGGTATAATAGAACTTTTTTTGTAAATTTGGTTGGATGCCTTATGTAATTGACATATCTAATAAAAACAAGCCGTAGTATAAACCAGTTAACATAAAAACCACGAAAATACTGAGCAATTGCATAATTATTTTGTAATAATTATCTAAGAGCTTCAGTTTCAATACCAATGACTTTACTTATTGTCTCCGCTCATTTTCCATCCATTAAGAGCCGATGCACATAGTTCAGACTCTTATGTAGGTCGTGAAGTTTTTTGTTTTTCAGGAAAAGGCAATTTTGCCTTTCCTCGATTGGACTTTTGATTTATTTTTTAGCTTGCCATACTTTTTATACTAGTGAGCTTGCGAGCATAGTGTATTAGTATGAACCTACTTTATCCAACCTAACTCGCAAATAAAAGTGCTCAATTTGGTGGCACTTAAGCTATAATCACGATCTGTAGCATTGGAAATTTCCTTGCGTCTGTTCTTTGCTTTATTTGTGGCGAGTGTTTGTAGATCGTTAAACGTCCGTGGCCGAGTGTGAAGGATGTGAGTCTTTTAATATCGTGGTAGCTGGTTAGAATCCGTCACTTAGCAAAAGTTTGAACAATTTGAGGCTTGTTTGCAATTTTTCTTATTTAACTTGCATGTTTGTCGCTTCCTCGCTAGTGTTTGCGAAGCGGAGCTTTGCGTCTGTGTAACAAAAGTAGCGAACTGAAATTTATTTTGAAAAATCACAAATCAAACTGCACAAATTCTTATTTGCGCGTGGTTTGGCTTTTGATTTTTTTAAGTTCAGTTTGTTTTTTTTTTGTTAAAAGGAAAGCAAACTCAAATATCGAACAGCAAAAATGCAAAGGTCACGAAAAACATGAATGACTTCTATTTTCAAATTTTTACGCTAAATTTTAAGAACTGTTGAGCGTAATGAAAACTCTTAAATAGGTCTTGGTGTTTTTTTTTTCAGGAAAAGTCTTATGATGCTCTAAGAAAAATACAGATGTGCATTCATACATATTAATGCAGTTATGAATGCACTTAAATATATATGTTTTTCTTGAATTCAATTGAAATTCATCTACTGGAAATAAGGTAAATTGGACTCTGCAAATACGAACGTTGAAATGGCGCAAAACATGTGATTGGTTTCTAGATTTGAAAGTGGAATTTCATTTGTAGATTAACCACCGGAAAAAAAACTTTACCTATCGATCCATTTTTCTAAATTTGAGTTTATTTTATCAAAAAAGTGTCAATCTCAATTTCGTCTGGAAGTTGAAAGAGGTGATGCCATATATTTTCTACTTTGAACTTCTATAGTGGAATATTTTCAAAAATATGTCAGTTTTTTTTCTGTTTGCTTGCGTTCAATGACTCTTTTCCAACTGTCTATTGCCTATCTTCTGAGTTCCCAGCAAAATTTAAAAAGTTAGCTATTCAGTTTTCTCTAAGTGAGATAATTTTAATTAAAAAAAGTGCCAATCATAAACAATTGTTGAAAATCAAACGCTTCAAGGTGTTGTTTTTTTCGAATGTTGAAAATTGTGAAAATCTTCCAATCAAATTTTTTTTTGATTTTTTTTGAGAATCTGTTGGCTATGTTTCAATTTAATAGTTTATTTCTTGCCAATTTAAGTGTTATTTATTGTTAAATGAGACTGTTCGAGCCTTCATAGTTTGATGTAAATATTGTTTCAAATTCAAGCTTAAGAGATGATATGTAAGATCCAGTGTTAATGTTAGTTTGATTGGCTTTATTTTTTCAGGTACTGCATGTTTGATGATAGATACAATCTTATGATAAATCGAGTTCGATAGAACTTGTTACAAATGGTTAAGCTGAGTTAAACTTATCCCAAAATGAAGTCGTTTTTGTTTCTTGCAATGTTCATATCAGTCTTTAGCGGACTTCAGGCTAGTGGGTCTCAAATTTGCAGTTATTACTCGGGCAAAAGTGATCCGGATATACAAAAAATAGAGAAATCTATTTCTGCGACATCTAACGACAATTTGGACAGCGATGCGATTGTAATATGCGATGCAGACAAATCAGTGGCATGTTATGCAATGTTTACATCGACGCATAAAAAGATAGAGATCATTTCGGCCGGGTGTCTTACCATGAATGCATCGAGTGCAAATAGCATAGGAGCAACTTGTGCGAACGAGAACTGCACGGCTCTGTCCAGTCATTTGGTTGGCGAAAGTGACAGTGATAGAAACAAATCAAGAATCGGTTTTTGCTGCTGTTCGACTAGACTGTGCAACCAGATAATCACGAAACCCATTGTGCGCAAAGCAGTTCCAGTGCCAGTTTATGAAGTGAGCTAACAGATTCTTGATTAGGTCTCTAGGATAATGCAACTTAGCCAAAATGATACAGCGAAACTAACTGTGAACTTATTCGACGTGTATTAATGTGAATGATAGGCTTAGAACAATTTCATTGAAGTAAGAAGCATGGCAGTCAACAGTAGATCATGTTATTTTTGGGTTAAAATTTAATTGATTGCTTGCGTGAACAGTTTGGAATGGATATAGTTTTAAATTTCAGCTAGAAACAAAGCCAACTGTCCGTGAGTCGAAAGACAGAATGGGGTACGTAATCGTCATCCTTGCAATCGCATCTCTCTTAGTCATAGCTGCCATCCTCCTTTTCCTCACCATGCGTCACCTACATCGCAAAGTGTTCACTCCCTTCTGTCCCTGTAGTACCCGTGAGTCGCGTGGAGTTGTGGACGGGTTCCAGTGCGAAGAACATAGAGTAGTTATGGAGCTCGGAACAATCGGTGATGGGACATACATCGATAAAGACGGAACCTCGAAAATAGCTCCGAGTCAGTCTAGTTCAAGAAATGTAGTGGATAACAGTAATTTGAAACTGATGAAACTTATCGGTCAAGGACGCTATGGAACTGTGTGGCATGCTCTGATGCGAGATTCAGAACAAGAAGTGGCCGTTAAGTTGTACAAGAGCGAGCATAAACTGTACTTCAACAACGAATTGAATATTTATCAAGTGCCGCTCATGCAGCATCCAAATATCGTCAGTTTCATTGCAGGTGAGATTATTCTGTTCAAACATATCGTCGGAAAAGTTTTAAATCGATAATTTTGCTTCCAATAATTAGTTTCAGTAGGTCATGAAGAGCCTGAGAAATCTGATGATCCATATTTCGAGCTGCTCCTCGAAGGGAGCTTTATTGTCAGGAGTCCTGATTAATGATCCTATCGAGAACGAGAAATAGAACGCCTACTCTATAGAGGTTGTTGAACCATAGTTGGACGTCAAATGTTCCTATAACTTCCGAATTAGGTTGACAAGATTTGTGTTTATTTCAGGCTCGTGGCGATTGAACGAGGAGTGTGGTGTGAACGAGTACATGTTGGTGATGGACTACATACCCAATGGGTCTCTGGCATGCTTCCTCGCCCACAACCACTTCACTTTCGCACCCATGGTCCAACTGGCTCTCTCGGCTGCCAGGGGACTGGCATATCTGCATTCGGAGATCACACAGGCCGGTGCTAGGAAACCAGCTATTGTGCACAGGTAGTGCCTTTATTTCTGTTACATTTGAAATTATGGCACTTTTGTTTGAAAGTCTGCTCTGGTTTCAACCTGCAGTTGAATTTATTCACCAGGAGTTCTTGCTAACGAATCGGAGAGAAACTTATATTTTGCTTGAGCTTCTTTAAAGGCTTACACTTTCTATCCACCGATCTACTCAATGTCATCTGTAACTTTATTATTGTCCTTCGTTCTGTATTGAGAGGTTGTGTAATGTTGTAGAGATTTCAACTCGAGGAATATTCTTGTTAAGCGTGATGGAACTTGTGCAGTGAGTGATCTTGGATTTGCCCAGAAGGTGTCTGGGGCTGATCTTTATGGCTACACGACCAGCCTCATCCCCGATGTGGGCACCCTCAGATACATGCCACCTGAGGTAGAAATGAAAAAAAAATAATTGAAACAAAAGTGGTCTGTTTTTGTGTAAGTAGCACATAGCACAGATCTTCCGACGGTTCTCATAGCAAATATTGAGATCAAATGGAAAAGAAAACGGCAAAAGCCTTTTGAGAGATCAAATCTGCAGCCGTTGAACCCGCTGGTAGATTTACTAAAATGAAAAATTTTTCGTTAAGTTTTCCGCTCGTCACTTAGTGACAAGGTCGGAATAATAAGTAGCAATCAAATATGCAATTGTCTTGTAATCGAGAACTATACTTTTTCCCTTTAACAATTTTCCTACCAATCTATTATATATTTAAATGCGGGCTTCACTATCTTGCTACGTTTAAATTTTTTGACATACTATTTTTGCATGTTTAACGAAAGAATTTTTTGACGTTTAAGCGTTTTTCAGTTTGAATTCATTGATTATTTCACCAAGTTTTAAATTTTTAACACAATAGAGAAATACTATCAGAGTTTTTCAGGTTTTGCAAATTTCGCCTTCAATTATGAGTACCCAAATCCTTATAGTTTACGAGGTACGACAATTTTTTCGATTTTTCTAAAAATTTTCAGAAGACTTAGATTTATAAAATTTCACAATTTGAAATTCCCAACCTTGTAGTTGGGCGTGGTCAGGGTACTCTCAGCGGTTACAAATCTTGCCTCCAAATACTTTTAGTTCCCAAGTTGTTATTATTTTTGTGTTATATTTAAGAGTAATGAACGTAGGAAAAGTGCTCTAATAACTACAGATATCTATTCACAGATCCGCATACATTAATGCATATATAAATGCTCTTCGGTATATTTGCACTTTTTGAAATCAATTGAAATTAATCTGCTGAAAAATAACGTATAGATACATTTTTTCGAGTGATTTATAGGATCTGGGTTATCAATTTTGTTCTTGATGCAAGAACTATAAAAAAATGTTTTCAATAGGTTATCAAAATGTTTTCAAAAGCGTTTTTGTGGTTAAGCCAATCAATAAGAAGTCTTTTGCAAGTGAATTATTTGTTATTATTAATTTTGAGATAATTTTGCTGTTCAGGTATTGGAAGGTTCTGTCGATCTGAACAAGTGCGAGAGTGCTCTGAAACAGATAGACGTCTATGCATTAGCACTGGTCCTGTGGGAAATCAGTTCACGCTGTGATGAGTTGTACAGGGGCTATCCGACTGTGAGGTCACCTGAGTTTAAACTACCCTTTGAGGAGGAGCTGGGAAAGAGTCTGAAGTTTGATGAGATGCGAGATCTGGTGTCCGTTCAGCAGAGGAGACCAGTCTTCCCCTCAGGTTCCTTAAATGTTCCTTACATATATGTATCACGTGTATGGATCAAACTGTATTTCTCATTGCTTGACTATTTGATCAGCAAACAAGTCTGGAGCTTATGATACCAAAAAAATGTAGAATTGATGTGGCTTAACTCATTGAAAAATGTATTTTTCGAAGGAATGTCTTTTTGCAAAGCTTGCATTAAGGTTCATCACTTGATGATAATTTCAGGCTGGGCTAGGGAGTGGAGTGGGGTGAAGTGTATTGTGGACACTGTGGTGGAGTCGTGGGATCAGGACTCCGAGGCCAGACTCACTGCCGCGTGTGTCGTCTCCAGACTCAACACTCTGGTAAGTATGCTTGTCTGATCTAATCGAATTGTTTCCTTAGCCGTTAGTTTTTTCTTACTACAAATTCAATTGGCGCACAAGCTTTCAACGGCTATTTCTTTCTTGGTGTGATGTAATAGCTAGAATTAAGCTGAGGAATTACCGTTTATTCAGGGTTTATTTGGAAAAATTTGCGGTGGACATATGCTATTTAAGAATACAGTTGCTTTCTCTCTTTTGCAAGTTGTTGAGATCGAAACAGACGGTTTGCTTCTTGTCTTAGGTGGTTGTTCGTTTTAGCCCGTATTGTGGTCGGAAGCTGCAGAAACATTTCATGATGTACATGACTCACCTGCAGATGTTGTCACTGCCAACCAATCGAGCACCCTTCCCATGAGCCCATCTGACGCGTTAGTGTTTTAACTCTGTTCATGGAGTATAATCATGTGACTCATGAGGATTTTTTATGCGTTGTCTAAATGTCAATGAACATAGTGAAGACACTTATATAACATAGTTCTGTTGTTTGTTTTTTAAAATAAATAGTTTTTCGCGTTTTTACTTTTGGTTTCTAAGTAAAATCGAGTCAAATTCATTTGCTGAGAAAAGAACATTAAGCTTTTGAATAACAAATATTGAAATGGCGCGAAGAAATGAGTTCAATATGAGGATTTCAATTTATAGATTTTATCTAAATGAAAAAAAAATGTTGGCTGTTTTAAGAACGAAAGAAGCTATTGTCTGAACTGTCAGCCCTAAATTGAGAAACTGCTTCGTTTAGAATCGAAATTGAGCTGAAGTAGACATGATTTCATTCTGAATATAATTACCTTATGTTGTTTGTTTCAGCGAGCACAATTTCAGTGGCGATCAGTCGTCTCTAGCAATTGAAGTTTCAATGAATGAATTGCACGCAATAGAGTTACCCGAACCTCAGGATCTATCATCAATCGCGTGAAAAAAAACTAACCCCAATAAGTTAAATTATTGTTTTCATATTTTGTATATCATTCGATTTTGAACGTAGTAGATAGAAATTTGCAATTCATTTTTCGTAGTTAAAATATTTGTCAAATGAGTGAATCTTCAGGTTTTCAAACGTGTGAAGTTTGATTTGATCTGCCGATACTTCAGAGTGTGTTAAAAATAGGATTAAATTGAAGTTTGTGATTCCATTCGTGATTCCCGTTTTGAAATTATTGATGTAAAATAATTTCCAAATATTTCAACAAAGATTGAAGGCATAAATCAACGGTAAAAGACACAAAACAGTTTCAGAATAGTATCGTTTTTAGGTTAAATGTTATATATACTTCTTAAGATTCGATGACCGTAGTTCAGACTCTTATATATGTCATGATGATTTTTTCCCGTTTTTTTTTTCATGAAAAGTTGAAATTTGTTCAGGCTTTGATTTCCTTTTAAGTTCATTTCATTTGTTAAAAGGAAGGAAATCGTCCTTTGTTAAAAAAAGGAAAACTCCACTATCAAACAGCGAAAGCGTAAAGGTCACCAAAAACGTGATCGACTTCTAATTTTGAAAATGGAAATAAATTATCAGATTTTCCAGCAAAATAAAAGTTTAACCTATTGATCCAGTTTTCTCAAATTGGATTAATTTTAACAAAAAGTTGTCCATTATAAATTGTTCTACAAATTCAAAGAGCTTTAAGGCCATCTAGTTTTTTCTATGGTTTTTAATAAAAACAAGTCAGCTTTTTTGAAAATTTTATTTGCGTTCATTACTTTTTTCCAACTCAGTTGGCGATGTTTTCATTTGCTAACAGTTCAAAATCAGAAATATCCAGCGCAATAGATATATTTTTTCCCAGTGCAGTAGAAAAGTTTTTGATCGAGGTTATTCAAACTATGTTAGTACGTCAACGCTGTTCCAATTGGCGGCTGGCTGTATTGCTGTGTTGTCTTTCATGCATGCGAAGTACAACTTTTTTGATCTGTTCACATGAAGACTTAAAGTTCTTACGTTGCTAGTTTTTGTTTTTAGTTAAAGAGTAATAAACGTAATGATTTCTCTTAAATAGTACTTAGTGATTTTGGTAATGGTCTTGGTTTTTCAGAAAAAAAAACCTAAAATTTGTTCACGCTAAAAGTTTGACTTTTTTAGTTTCAAGTTCACCTGATTTCCTCAGTTAAAGGAAGGCAAACTCCACTATCGCACAGCAAAAATGTAAATCTTACGAAAAACGTAATCGAATTCTAGTTTCGAAAAAGGATTTCAATTTTGAGGTTCCCCAGCGAAATTATAAATTACCTGTTGATCCAGTTTTCTCTAATTGGGTTTAAAACTAAAGAGCTTTATGGGCATATACTTTTTCTTCAAAATTCGACTGTTTTTTCGAAAAACAAGTTTTTTTTCTGTTCCTTGCGTTCATTACTCTTTTAAAACGGTCAATTAGCTATGTTTTTACGCTTGCGTTATCACAGTGGAATATAGACTTTTAGTTTTCGGGTTAATAAATAGTTCAAAATCAGTTGACCCATGTTTTGTCTGCTCAGTGTCGGCTTCGTGAATTTTGCTTTTTATGCTTTTTCAACACTGGCAGTTGTGTTTCTCAGTATTGTTCCTTAAATTTACCCGCATTCCAGGCAAAATTTTGAAAAATAATTTTTTTAAATGATATTTTAACTTTTTTCGACTGAGCTTTAGTATTTTTTTTTTGGTTTAGTTGCCGTGCAAATTTTTGCTGAATCGCAACGCCTGGGTTTACTGTGTGTCCTTTCCAGTAAAAGGTCTTGTCTTGAATTTTTGTCTGCGCTCATTTTGTTTTGGTGGTCGGAGTTTTGGTTTTTAAACCTACTTCAATCTCAACAAGGAAATAAATGGCGCGAAAGAAAGAACCTGAGTTTCAGTTTCAAAGTTGAAGTAATATGCTATTCAGAATTTCACGCTGAATTAAATAATACTTATTACTATAATTGGTTTGTTTTCATCAGAAATTGTATATCAAAAAAGACTCTCAGAATCCAAAGAGATTTAGAGTGACATAGTGTTTTCTATTGAACTCCAAAAAATTGAACGAAAATCCTCGTTTTCATGGTTCATTAAATTCCTGCTTGATAAAAACAGGTATTATACAAGTGTATGGGACCGGGTTTTTGTACTATTTTTTAATTTGTATTTTTTTGCGACGCCTTGGAAAAAATTTTCATTTTAAAAAAATTAGTCTTTCTCAAAAACGACTAACGATTTTCAAAATGGGAATTCTGCCCACTCCCCTGTGTGCCTGCATAATCCTTTAGTTCCTTTTTTTAAAAACCTTACCCCACTTTCTGCAGCAAATGTTTGAGTTAATGGATAGAACAGGTTGTAGAAAGCCCCCTGCATAAGCGGCTTCACCCAAATTTTTTTTACACGAAAAGATTTGGCCCTCAGAAAAGTCAATTTTTCGATTTGTTGATCATTTTTTGAAACTTTTAGTTTTTTTTTAACGAAAACTACCCTCCCGAATCTGAGATTTTGGTTTCAATGAGTAGAACGGGTTAGGCGTTATCATTTCTGCAACTCTTTTTACACAGAAGTTATGACCTTCGGAAAAGTCAATTTTACGATTCTTTCTGAGATTTTGCTTTTCGAATCTGCGTTTTTGGTTTGAATTGGTAGAACGGTTTTTGGGAAGTCCCCTTAATAAGGATTCAATGGCTGAGTTTTTCACACGCTCCATTGCTTCCAATTGTATTGTGGTTTGTTTGACGGGGTGCAAAATCAAAATGCGTTCGTTAATATTAATTTTACCATTAATTCTTTGCATGATTTTGTCAAAAAAATTCGAAAAAAATAATTTATACCATCTTTTCCCCTTTTAATCTCCTAGTTATTTTTTTAAGAGAACAAACTAAGGTTTTGGGTGAAGCGCAGTTTTTGAAATAGCCCTTTTCCTTCCGCATCAGTACAAAAATTCAAAAACTATCAAATAGATATTTCCAGATTTAGCTGGTCTTTAGTAACAATTTTCTGTTGGCTATCTTTATAACCTCTTTTCTAAGGACACTTCAGCTCTCTTAGCTGTTAAACCATTTTAAAGTGGTATGGATTTCTTGTGTACAAAAGCATTGCTGATACATGTTTTGCTATTCACCGTGGTAAAGCTGCCGTTCAGATATGATGTGTTTTCTTTTGTAGCCAGCGTGTTTTTTGTTTCCAGAAAGTTTTTTTCACTTCAAAGATAATATCTTTTCACTTGTAATTGTAATCAAGATTTAGAATTTTTTGCGACAACAATTTTTTCAAATTTCTAAGTAATTCCTTCTGCTTTATGAAACAGTATCTTCCAGGCCTTTTTCGCTTGGTCTAGGGATAAAACACGCGCCTTTGTGTCATAAGGTCTTAAGTTTGAGTCGTAGCGGGACCTTGTTTTTTTCTAATATGTAGAAATTTGAAAAAGTTTTGGAAAACTTGAGTTGCCGACTATCGTTTTTATATCTGCGTACTTTCTTTATTTTTTCGCTCAAATGGTTTCCGCTAATGTTATGTCGGCTTAATTATCTCATTTTGCGTGGTTTGGAAGACGAAAACATACTGCTATGATCTTCTGTCAGGAGTAAAGATGCGTAAAGAGGTCGAACTTCAAAAAACTTACAGCTCAAAGATTTTCTTTGTCATAATTTTGTTTTCGGCTCAAGTGGCCTGTATTCAATTTTTGTCGGATTAGTTGCCGCACTTTAATAAATTTTGCATGCGCATTCATTCTCTGTGAATATGCTTTTCGCCTCGTCGTGCGAGATGATCATATGTATTTTTTCATAGATGTAGCTTATTTTATATGTTTCTACGACACAGCGGCTTGTATCTCATGTTCTTTCCGCTAGTTTGCAATGCAAGGTTTGTTTGTGTTCTATCACGAGTTTCGCGGAGCTTCGCTTCTGCAGTTAAAATGATCTCAATCATTTGCTATATGAAACGCAAACTAAGCTCTCCGATAAAAAAAGTGCTAGTCGCCGAAACGATTTTCAAAAGGGGTTTCAGTTTTGTAATATCAGGCGAACAACATCAACTATGGATACTGTTTTCTCAATTTGGCTAATTATATCAAAAAGTTTCAATCCTAAAAGATTCTTTAAATGCAAAAGTTTAAGATCGTACATTTTTTTAGAAACTCTAAAATAACAATTTGAAATTTATTTAGTTTTTTTTTTAGAATAAACGAATCGAGTTTATATTTGCGCCGTGATTTTTCTTCAGAAACAAAAATCTTTAAAACTGTTCACGCTTCAGTTTGATTGTTTGTCGCTTGAATTCTGATTTCTTGAGTTCTTTTGACGCCCGCTGATTCACTCAAATTAATCATAGTTTGATCCCATTTTCCAAATTGAGTAAGTTTTTCAGAGAAATAACATTCATGAAATTCCTTATTTTAATGCTCCTTAGGTAATTGTTGATTTAATTTCTTAGTTATTGTTATAGAGCGAAGGGTTGATGAAAAGCGAAGACCAATTTTGTTAAAATATATTGAAAATATCATTTAATACTGTCATTAAGCTGCTACTGAATTGGTCAAAAAGATGAAAAAACTTGAAATCCACGATTTTTTTGAATTGCTTCTTTCGTCTAATCATATGTTTCTGCCATGTTACGACATCCTGTTTTTAGTTCGTGGTGTGAAGAAAAGATCTAAGCGAAAGCCTAGAATCTGCTACAAGTTTTGTTAATTAGGCATATTCTCCAGGGGTCTTCATCGAAAAGTTTTTTCGTTCCCATGAAAGCACTGAAAAATTTCTAATACAAATATTACTGGAATGGAATAAATTTTCGCGACTTAAATGAAAGCTTATCGCCCGTTATAAGCCTGCTCGCTTGATGTATTTGCTCGAAATTAGAATAAGAATCAAAAATCTTAAGCCGGTTTTTCTCGGCTTTGAGAAAACTTTTTAGGTATTTTAATGTCTTTCGATTCACGAGTGAAAGGGCTTTTATATTGTATATCACGCTACTCCTTCCGATTGTTCTTTACTACCTAATTTTGCGTAGAAAAAAGTTTTAAAAAACTATAACTCCCGAATTCATAAATCCTCCCACTTCTAGAATGTTTTAGAATAACGCTTTTGAAAATACGCGTGATGCGTGAAAACAATCAGAATGCTAACACCGCTGGTCGAAAAATTGAGCTTGCGAGTTAAACAAAAAAAATGAGCACTGGGAAGTAAGTGGCTCGCACGTTTCTCTTAAGATGTCAGATGAATAGAAACGTTACCTGAGCATAAACTGAAAATTCTCAGTTTCAGATGTTTAATGTTAGCAGGCGCTTCAAGCGTCTCCTCTACCTCTTATTCTTCCTTCTATGCATCCTATATGTTAAATACCTTCACTCTGTATACCTTGAAAATGAATCATTCAGTAGCGTAGACGTCGACTTCTCGGAACTGAGACGGTCCACCAAAGAAAATTACATCTTATCTGCGGATTATATTCTACTTGTAAAACGATGCACCACATCGTCCAAATCGGCAAGTCACGCCCTCTTGGCGTCACTAAAGCTACAAGTAAAAGTCAAGGAAATATCAGATGATGATGATTCATTCACGCTTAGTAAACCTCTGCCTTACTTGATAATTCTCGACGATAACACAATTGTGCATTTTCTGAAAGAGCCGATCTATCAAATTGCACGAAATGTCATTATAGCCAATTCTGTTCCAATTGTTGCGATATGTGCGAACTTTGAGCAGTGCAATTATCATGCTCGAGCGCTTCCACCCGCAATAGCTTACTACAAATCTTACGTGCGCACTTCAGATCATGAACTACTGGAGATACTGAAGCAGAGATTCGTGTACGAGAACATTAGCTCTACATCGCTAGTGTTTAGTTTGAGCCCGCAATCTAAGGAAACAGTAAATGGGATCCAGCCTCTAGTTGAAATTCCAGCTAACAATGTTGATCTGAATAAAATTCCGGAAAATATGCGAAGTGAGGTTAAGAAATCAAAGCTCATTTCAGCGTATTATGACTCGGGGAAAGTTGACTCGATTCCCAAAGTTGTGCTTGGGAATGACTTGAAGGGCAACGATTGGCTTTACAAAGTACTGTTCCTTGAAGCTTGCAATTACGTCACAAAAAGGAAACTATCTTTTGGATTGACTCGCTTAATTCAAGTTGATATAGATGATGTTTTGATGCCGGCAAAACTACGAGAGAATGCTCTCACAAAAACGGATATCAATGAATTGATTAAGTTCCAAAAAAGTGTGAGTAGTTTCATCCCAAATTTCGGTTTGAAGCTCGGGTTTTGTGGTGATTTTTTCACACGTGGCAGGCACCCTGAAGAGATCGAGGCCTTCAAGTACCTCGCAAGGAGTCGCAAAGATGAGTTCACATGGTTCCCCCATTTGTTCAGACATTACCAACCTCATAATCTGACCTTCAACAAGCTGCGTGAAGAGATGCTAGAAAACAAAAAGTTCGCTGCAAAATACGGCATAAAAGTGGACGGTTCTTACGCTGTGTCACCTCATCATTCTGGAGTTTACCCTGTAGTTCACATTTTGTACCAACTTTGGAAGGATATCTGGAATGTTTCAGTCACTTCCACAGAACAATACCCACATTTGAAGTCAAGTCATGGGAGAAAGGGTTTCATTTATAACGATATTTCAGTGTTACCTCGGCAGGTGTTGGGTCTCTACACAAGAACTTTGAGGTTCAATGATTACCCGGGTGGGATATTAGGCCTGGAAAGAGACGTCAGAGGGGGTGATTCTTTCATGACCATCCTTCTAAACCCAGTGGCTATCTACATGACTCATATAGGCAACTATGGAGCAGATCGCTTAGCTCTCTATGCATTGAGAAATCTGTTCCATTTCGTGGCCACAAACACTAATTTGAAGCTCAGATCTGCGTCGCCAGCTCAGATGGCACAATACCATTTCAATGTGTTCCCTGAACAGACTTTACCTGTGTGGACCATGCCGTGCGATGACAAGCGACACATGGAAATTGTACCCAAGGGATTCAAGTGTGACTCATTCCCGCAGATGATAATAGTGGGTCCTCAGAAAACGGGAACCTCGGCCTTTCAGTTTTTCCTCTCAGCTCATCCAGACTTCTCTACCAGTCTTCCCAGTGACCAATCATTTGAAGAAATCCAATTTTTCAACAATGATGGCTACTATTTGAAAGGAATAGACTGGTACAAAAGTCGCTTTCCAATAATGGCTCGTAGCAGCCAAGTTAATTTCGAAAAAAGTGCCAGTTATTATGATAAATATAAAGTTCCACACCGCATCAAAAGCCTCTTGCCTAATGTCAAAATCTTGATGCTCCTGCGAAATCCTATCGATCGAGCCTACTCGTGGTATTTGAACGAAGTTTCTAAGATGGAAAAAGTGTCTTTAACTTTTTCAGAGCTGATTCGTTCCAACCTGACAGATCCAGACGCGCCTGATTTCATTTTCAGATCCAAAGTTTTGACTCCTGGCTTCTATTTCAAACACATCAGAAGGTGGCTGGAAACTTTCGCGCTCAAATCCGTTTACTTTGTAGATGCAGACTTCTTTGCTGAAAAACCCGCGGAGGAACTTCAGAAGTTTATAAAGTGGTTCAGACCTGAAGAAAAGCCCGTTTTCAATTTCTCAACTATTATTGAGTTCAACAAAGAGAAGGGCTTGTACTGTCTTAAAAAGTCGGTGTCAGCTAAAAACTGCTTGGGGGCTTCAAAAGGGCGTTCCTTTAGTCAGTCATATGACAAGCTTCTTCCAGTTGATCGAGAGTTTTTGAGAAATTTCTACATGGCTGACATGCAAAATTTGAAACTTATGTTCGAAAAGAAGAATATTTCAATACCCACGTGGTTGCGAACTTGGCGTTAATTTTTAGTTAGAGCTAAGTTCTCTTTTAAAATGTTGTCTGATAACTTACTATTTTTATGCAACTTTTGGCTTTCGAAAGTTTGAGATACTACTATTGAGATACTAATATTGCTATTGTTGAAAAATTATCAGGAGCATTTTCATTTTGATTATTCTTAATTGCAGTTTCAAGCAAGTTTTGCAATAATTCTGTCAACTTTTTTGTTTAGTTTTTCTATTTTCACTTTGCAGCGTGTCAATTTCTTTTGATTTAATTTGATTTAAATTGATTTTATTTTTTGCAGTGTCAAACCTTTTATCGATTTTCTACTTTTATAAATATGTTTTTGTAATAGTCTTTTAACATAAATTGAAGCAAAATGAGCATTTAGGAATTGAAATGTCGGTTCGGTATATATTTTGGTTCGGTTCGGTTCGCATGGGATGGGTCTGCTAGTCGCAAATTTTTTACCCGTTAGAAAATTTTTCCATCCTGATTTTGTCCCTGATATTAATCCGAAGCTGAACAAGAATAACAGTTTGCTATAAACGACATGCAGAATATTCTGATCACAGCCACAGCCGAAAAAATGAGAATGATGAAACTTCCAGTTTTCCTTTTTTTCGGATCGCAAACTTAGTTTTTTTTTTTTTCATTTCAATCTATCTATCTATCTATCTATTATTTAATTGGCGTTTCACGTGACACATGTTTAAGAAATCCCTATGTTCACATGTTTAAGAAGTCCCTATTTTTGCATGTTTAAGTTTTTCAACGTATTATTTTTTGCATATTTAATGAAAATGTTTTTGCACGTTTAAGCTATACGGTTAAAATGCTTAAGAAATTTCATTTGGCTCATGTTTAAATCTGTTGGTCTGTTAAAAGGCCAAAAAATTGCAAGATTTGAAAATTTTATATATACATATAGTTCTATACATTCCTATATAGTGGGGTGCTGTTAGGGTATATTTAGGGGTTGCAAATCTGGCGTTCAAGTATGACTGCTCAAATCCTTATATTGTTCGAGATATGGCGCTTTTATGATTTTTGAGTTTTTTTTCGAAAAACCTAGAAAGAAAAAACCAACTGAACTTGAATTTCTCAACCCTATAGTGGGGTGCTATCAGGGTATATTCAGGGGTTGCAAATCTGGCGTCCAAGTATGACTGTTCAAATCTTTTTGGTTTTTGAGAAATTGCGTTTTTTATGATTTTTTTTTTCAAAAAAAATTAAATATAGAAAAAATTAACCTAACTTTAATTTATCAACCCTATAGTGGGAGGCTGTCAAGGTACATTCAGAAGTTGCAAATCTGGCGTCCAAGTGTGACTTCTCAAGTCCTTTTGGTTTTCGAGAAATGGTGTTTTTACGATTTTTTATTATTTTTTTTCTTCAAAAAATCTTATATATAAAAAATCAACCGAACCCCGAACTTCAATTTCTCAACTCTATCGTGGGATGCTGTCAGGTTACATTCAGAGGTTGCAAATCGAGAGTCTAAGTATGACTGCTCAAGTTTTTTTTTTTTTTTTTTTCGAGATATGGCGTTTTTTATGATTTTTTCATAATATTTTTCAAAAATCTTAGATAAAAAAAAATAACCGAACTTCAATTTCTCAACCCTATAGTGAGGTGCTATCAGGGTATATTCAGGGGTTGCAAATCTGGCGTCCAAGTATGACTGCTCAAATCTTCTTGGTTTTTGAGAAATTGCGTTTTTTTTTTATTTTTAATTTTTTTTTCAAAAAAAATTAAATATAGAAAAAATTAACCTAACTTTAATTTATCAACCCTATAGTGGGAGGCTGTCAGGGTACATTCAGAAGTTTCAAATCTGGCGTCCAAGTGTGACTTCTCAAGTCTTTTTGGTTTTCGAGAAATGGTGTTTTTACGATTTTTTATTATTGTTTTTCTTCAAAAAATCTTATATATAAAAAATCAACCGAACTTCAATTTCTCAACTCTATCGTGGGATGCTGTCAGGTTACATTCAGAGGTTGCAAATCTAGAGTCTAAGTATGACTGCTCAAGTCCTTTTGGTTTTCGAGATATGGCGTTTTTTATGATTTTTTCATAATTTTTTTCAAAAATCTTAGATATAGAAAAAAAACCGAACTTCAATTTCTCAACCCTAAAGTGGGATACTGTCAGGGTACATCCAGGGGTTGCAAATCTCGAGTCCAAGTATGACTGCTCAAGTTCTTTTGTTTTTCGAGAGTTGGCGTTTTTTATGATTTTTTTCATTTTTTTTTTCAAAAAATTTAAGATATGAAAAAATCGAACCGAACTTGAAATTCTCTACCGAATATTGGGTTGCTGTCAAGGTACATTCAAGGGTTGAGAATCTGGCGTCCAAGTATGACTGCTTAAATCCTTTTGATTTTCGAGATATGGCGTTTTATGATTTTTTCATTTTTTTTTTCAAGAAAACTTAGACATAAAAAAATAATCGAACTTCAATTTCTCAACTCTATAGTGGAATGCTTTCAAGGTACATTCAGCGGTTGCAAATCTGGCGTTCAATTATGACTGCTCAAATCTTTTTTTGCTCGAGATATGGCGTTTTTTATGTTTTTTTCATGTTTTTTTTTTCAAAAAAAAATTAGAAATAAAAAAATAACCGAACTTGAATTTCTCAAGCTTATAGTGGGTTGTTGTCAGGCTAAATTCAGGGGTTGCAAATCTGGAGTCCAAGTATGGCTGCTCAAGTCTTTTTGGTTTTCGAGAAATGGCGTTTTTTATGATTTTTTCATAATTTAAAAAAAAAAGCTTAGAGATAAAGAAACTTAGATACAAAAAACTAACCGAACTTGAATTTCTCAATTCTATAGTGGGGTGCTGTCAGGCTATATTCAGGAGTTGCAAATCTGGCGTTCAATTGTGACTGTTCAATTTCTTTTGGTTTTCGAGAAATTGCGTTTTTTGTGTTTTTTTTTTTCATTTTTTTTTCAAAATTTTTTTTCAAAAACTTCAATTTCTCAACCCTATTGTGGGGTGCTGTTAGGGTACAATCAGGGGTTGCAAATCTGGAGTCATGGTATGACTGCTCAAATTCTTTTGGTTTTCAAGAAATGGCGTTTTTTATGATTTTTTTTTCAAAAAAAATAAGATATAAAAAAATCGAACCGAACTTGAAATTCTCTACCTTATATTGGGTTGCTGTCAAGGTACATTCAGGGGTTGAGAATCTGGCGTCCAAGTATGACTGCTTAAATCCTTTTGGTTTTCGAGATATGGCGTTTTATGATTTTTTCAAGAAAACGTAGATATAAAAAAAATAACCGAACTTCAATTTATCAACTCTATTGTGGGGTGCTTTCAAGGTACATTCAGGGGTTGCAAATCTGGCGTTCAAGTATGACTGCTCAAATCCTTTTATTGCTCGAGATATGGCGTTTTTTAGGTATTTTTTCATGTTTTTTTTTTCAAAAAAAAGTTAGATAAAAAAATAACCGAATTTGAATTTCTCAACCTTATAGTGGGTTGCTGTCAGGGTAAATTCAGGGGTTGCAAATCTGGAGTCCAAGTATGGCTGCTCAAATCCTTTTGGTTTTCGAGATATGCCGTTTTTTATGATTTTGTAATTTTTTTTTCAAAAAAACCTAGATGTAAAAAAAATTAACCGAACTTCAATTTCTCAACCCTATTGTGAGGTGCTGTCAGGGTAAATTCTGGGGTTGCAAACCTGGAGTACAAGTATGACTGCTCAAATCCTTTTTTTTCTAGATTTTTGGTTTGTCTGTTTTGTGAAGACTTGGTTTTGTAGCACGGAGTTGCGATTGACGCGCTAGTTATTATTTACCTACGCAGTTGATCCTCTTCTACATATATGTGGGTTGCGACAATGGCTGACCACTTTTGTTCCGAGAACTGAAAGAGGGAAGGAACTTTGTCTTGGGTGTGGCATAGTTTTGTATGGGTTTTTAAATGCTTAATAACCGAAGTGGTTTATCATTTAATTAGGTCGCGTGATTTTTTTTTCAGGAAAAGTCATCTTTCTATATATCTATCTACACATTATTTAATTGGTGTTTCAGTTGACATTTGTTTAATAAGTCCTTTGTTTAATATTGACATGTTTAAGCTTTTTCAACGCATCATTTTTTGCATGTTTAGCTAAAGATTTTCTTGGATGCTTAAGGTATATTGTATATTGTAATGCTTAAGAAATTCCCTTTGCACATAAGTAAGAAATCGCTATGTTGGCCTGTTAAATGGTCAAAACAATGCAAGGGTTGAAATGTTAACTCAAGTCGACGTTTTAAAGTCTATTGGAGGGCGAATAACTCCTACTTTCGCAACGTATAATATTTTTTCTTCTTTCGCAACGTAAAACTATCACTATTTTTGTTTCACAATTTATTTAATTAAATTTCATTTTTTCAACCTTATAGGGCGGTGCTATCAGGGTACACTCAGGCGCTGCAAATCTGGCGTCCAAGTATGAGTACTCAAGTCCTTTTGGTTTTCGAGAAATGGTGTTTTTACGATTTTTTATTATTTTTTTTCTTCAAAAAATCTTATATATAAAAAATCAACCGAACTTCAATTTCTCAACTCTATCATGGGATGCTGTCAGGTATCATTCAGAGGTTGCAAATCGAGAGTCTAAGTATGACTGCTCAAGTCCTTTTGGTTTTCGAGATATGGCGTTTTTTATGATTTTTTCATAATTTTTTTCAAAAATCTTAGATATAAAAAAAATAACCGAACTTCAATTTTTCAACCCCAAAGTGGGATACTGTCAGGGTACATTCAGGGGTTGCAAATCTCGAGTCCAAGTATGACTGCTCAAATACTTTTGTTTTTCGAGAGTTGGCGTTTTTTATGATTTTTTTCATTTTTTTTTTCAAAAAATTTAAGATATGAAAACATCGAACCGAACTTGAAATTCTCTACCGAATATTGGGTTGCTGTCAAGGTACATTCAAGGGTTGAGAATCTGGCGTCCAAGTATGACTGCTTAAATCCTTTTGGTTTTCGAGATATGGCGTTTTATGATTTTTTCATTTTTTTTTCAAGAAAACTTAGATATAAAAAATAATCGAACTTCAACTTCTCAACTCTTTAGTGAGGTGCTTTCAAGGTACATTCAGCGGTTGCAAATCTGGCGTTCAATTATGACTGCTCAAATCTTTTTTTGCTCGAGATATGGCGTTTTTTATGTTTTTTTCATGTTTTTTTTTCAAAAAAAATTAGAAATAAAAAAATAACAGAACTTGAATTTCTCAAGCTTATAGTGCGTTG